GGGACAACCGGGCCGTATACAGTGATCAGTACGGGACACCCGGGCCAAATACAGTGATCAGTACGGGACACCCAGGCCATATACAGTGATCAGTACGGGTCACCCGGGCCATATACAACGATCAGTACGGGACACCCAGGCCACATACAGTGATCAATATGGGACACCGGGGCCATATACAGTGATCAGTACGGGAGACCTGGGACGTATACAGCAATCAGTGCGGGACACCCAGGCCATATACAGTGATCAGTACGGGACACCCGGGCCATATACAGCGATCAGTACGGGACACCCAGGCCTTATACAGCGATCAGTACGGGACACCCAGGCCATATACAGTGATCAGTACGGCACACCCAGGCCGTATACAGTGATCAGTACGGGACACCCAGGCCGTATACAGTGATCAGTATGGGACACCCGGGCCATATACAGTGATCAGTACGGGACACCTGGGCCATATAAAGCGATCAGTATGGGACCCCCGGACCATACACAGCGATCAGTACGGGACACAGAGCCATACACAGCGATCAGTACGGGACACAGAGCCATATACAGCGATCAGTACGGGACACCCGGGCCGTATACAGCGATCAGTACGGGACACAGGGCCATAAAAGCGATCAGTATGGGACACAGGGCCATAAAAGCGATCAGTAGGGGACACCCGGGGCCATAAACAGCAATCAGTACGGGTCACCCAGGCTATATACAGTGATCAGTATGGGACACCCGGGCCATATACAGCGATCAGTACGGGACACCTAGGCCATATACAGCGATCAGTATGGGACACCCGGGCCATATACAGCGATCAGTATGGGACACCCGGGCCATATACAGAGATCAGTACGGGACACCCGGGCCATATACAGCGATCAGTATGGGACACCTCAGCTGTATACAGCAATCAGTACGGGACACAGGGCCATTATACAGCGATCAGTACGGGACACCCGGGCCATATACAGTGATCAGTATGGGACACCCGGGCCGTTTCCAGCGTTCAATACGGGACACCCAGGCCGTATACAGTGATCAGTACGGGACACCTCAGCTGTATACAGCAATCAGTACGGGACACAGGGCCATAAAAGCGATCAGTAGGGGACACCCGGGCCATATACAGTGATCAGTATGGGACACCCGGGCCGTTTCCAGCGTTCAATACGGGACACCCAGGCCGTATACAGTGATCAGTACGGGACACAGTCTCTGTTTTTTTTGCTTTCTCTTTCTCTCTCCCTTTCCATTTCTGTCTCTGCCTTTGCCTCTGTATCTGTATCTGCCTCTGTTTCTCTCACTTCTGACTCTCTCTGTCTCCCTCTTTTCCCTGCTCTGTCCCTGCCCCCATTCCCAGTGAAGTAACAAATTCCTTTTTTCTCTCCCACCTGTTTTTGTAATCCCCTGCCTCTAATCAGTAACTAAAAGACGTTATAATTGATTAAAAGTGCAATTTAAAAAGGGGTTACACTTTCACCTGGTGGAGTTATATATTCATAATCCATAGTATGTTTTCCCGTGGTCAAAACTGATTTCTTCATATTGGATAGTAGTTCTTGTTAAGACTAACAGGAGTAATTTAGTTTGGGAAACTTGATAGGCATGGATTAGTTGGACCAAAGGTGTTGTTTCCATACTGTATGAACCCTGCTTCAGGGTTTTGTATTAGTCTAAATCCATCACGCAGGTAGATTGTGGATTTTGAATGACCCTGGGAGTTGTAGCTCATTAACAGCCCAATTTCCCAAGTGGATCCTAATGACCAGCAGTAGACACCAGCACCATAAATATAGTGATCAGCATTAGACCCTCAGGCCATATATACAATGATCAGCATTAGACACTTGCGCAGTGAACCATGATTAGCATTAGACATTCTGGCTAATGTTTTACTTCCTCTTTATCCTGTGGCGTTAAGACCAATTATAACATGGGAGCAAATTACTGCAGATGCTGGAATCTACTGAGAACAACAAATGCTGGAGATGGGAGCACCGTCCCCTGTAAGTTCCCCTTCAAGCTACTCACCATCCTGTCTTGGAAATATGTCACCATTCATTCAGTGTCGCTGGGTCAAAATCCTGACATTCCCTGTTTTACCGGTTTTCTGGGTCAACCCACAGCACATGGACTGCAGCGGTTCAAGAAGGCAGCTCACTCCCATCTTCTCAAGGGGCAACTAGATAACCACATCCTATGAGCTACTGGTAGAAAAATTGTCACTCACTTTCAGGTGAGGGAAGGCAATTCAATGGGAGAAAAACTGTGGACTGAAATGGGGATATCTGGCAAAATGTTGGATGCTTCATTTTCCCTGTAACTGTGTAATGGGTCAGCAAAATCCAAATTGCTACACTGGGATCTTAGGAATAGATATTTTAAGGTGTTTAGAGTTGATAAAATCAGCAGAACAGTGTAAAGAAAATACATCTATCTTTAGGAGTTACTAGCTATTTGATCCATGTGCATCAGAAACAATGCAATATTAGTTAGTGGGTTATCATTAAGCGAGAGCTGACAGTCCTTGCCCTCTCTTCACACAGTCTCAAGCTGCTCCTAAATGATAAAACCTCACTGTGGGAAAACCACATCGCTGTGGTGAAATTATAACTGCTTCTCCTCAGGTACCTTGACCTTTTTAATGAACACATTCACTTTGTGAAGTGGGACTACTAATTTTTTTGTTTGGAAACTTGCCCTTCACGTGTAACAAAAATTCTTGAGTTGGAACAAAGTGACTCATTTCTCTCTCTCTCTCAGCCTCCAACAAAATTCATGAGGTCTGGTTATGCTCAACCTTGCTCTCCATCCCTTCCCATCTGCCTCATGCAAACCAAAGGTAACTATCGTGCTGTGGAATGCTCTGGGTTCTATAGTATTCTTGTTCTCATTGTACTGCTGAGAAATATTTACAGTCTGCTGAGTGAAGGAAACCTTTTCAAAAAACCGTCTTACTGTGCTTCATCTTGCTACCAGCTGCAAGAAAAAGATGATGTGACATTGCATCACTCCCTGTGATGAGGTGTACATTTTCCTGAGCATAGAACGGTGTGATTTAACCCCTTCAACGACAGAATGCTTTTTTTCTCATTACAAAGACATTTTTTTTAAGTGCTCTGTTCACTCATTTTGAAGTGAAAGATCCCTTAAAGATTATTATAAATCTTTGAGGAGGTAGCGAGCAGGATGGATCAAGAGGAAGCAGTGGATGTAACAGGCAAAGGGAAGGTAAAGTTATTGTGCTTCCAGGTCAAAGAGCTCCTCTCTCATTAGAAGGGGGAGGACTGGTGGTGGTTTAACCTAAGGGTCACCACACCTGAGGTAAGAGGGAGAGGTTGAGAAGGAGGGTCCTTTATGGTAACCTCAGCTGGTGCAGGAATTGAGCCCACACTGTTGACTTCACTCTGCATCGCAAAGCAGTCATTCAGCAATAAATTTGGATTTTTCAGAAGACATTTTTTAAGGTTATTTAATAAAATAAGGTCCATTATATTATATTTGGGTAGGGGATATTGGGATAGTATATTAGAATGGATAGGGGACTGACTCAGTAATAGAAGACTTTCTAGTTAAATAGTATACAACTCCTCTATTCTTCCTGACAAAGTGCATAACCTCACATTTTCCCACATTATATTCCAAATGATAGGTTCTTGTCCACTCCCTTAACCTGTTCATATATCACTGCAGACTGTGTCACCTTCAACACTTACTTTCCCAGCTATTTTCGTTTCATCTGCAAACTTGATAACGGTACATTCATTTTCCTCACCCAAGGAATATATTCAGTATTTTGTCAGTATATTGTCAGTATTTGTGACCCCAGCACTGATCCCTGTGGTACTCCACTAGTTACAGGTTGCTGTTCTGAATATGTCCCAACCCCTTAGAAGAAGGATGAATAGAGAAGCTAAATATTATTTAAATAGAAAAAGCTGCAGCACAGAGGGGTCTGGGAATCCTTGTGCATGAATCCCAAAAAGCTAGCAAGCAGGTTTAACAGGTAAAGGGAATGGAGTGTTAAAACAGGGAATAGAAACCAAAAGAACTGCAGACTCTGTATAAATCAGAAACAAAGACAGAAATTGCTGGAAGATCTCAGCAGGTCTGGCAGCATGTGTGGAGAGAGATCAGAGTTAAAATTTCAGGTCAGTGACCCTTCCTCAGAACAGTTCTGTTTCTTTCCATGATGCTGTCAGACCTGCTGAGCTTTTCTAGCAATTTCTGTTTTCATTTGTGATAAAAATAGGGAGGTTTTGCTGAAACTATACAAATCCCTAGTTAGACCACAGATGGAATATTCTGAACAGTTTTGGGCCCTGTATCTAAAGAAACATATATTGTCATCAGACGCAGTTCAAAGAAGGTGCACTAACTGATCTCAGGTATGGAGGGACTGTACTGATCGCAGTTTCAAAGAATGAGAGATGACATTATTGAAACAGACAAGATTCTTTCAAAACCCCCTTCCCCTCCCCCTTTTTCTGATGAAGGGTCTAGGCCCGAAACGTCAGCCTCTCTGCTCCTATGATGCTGCTTGGCCTGCTGTGTTCATCCAGCCCTGCACCTTGTTGTCTAAGATTCTTAGGGTAAACAAGGAAAAGTTGGTGCCCCTTGTAGGAAGGGTCACCAGACCCAAAATGTTAACTCTGATTTCTCTTCACAGATCCTGCCAGATCTCCTGAGCTTTTCCAGCAATTTCTGTTTTCGTTTCAGAACAATCGATTAACGATTTAAGAAACAGATGAGGAGGAATTTCTTCTGTCTGTGAATCCGTGGAATTCCTTACTGCGAAGGACAGTAGAGGTTGGGTCATTTATCTCAGCCTATATTCAAGGCTGAGATAAACAGGTTTTTAATCACTAAGGGGATCAAAGGTAGGAGGGAAAAGGCAGGAAAGTTGAATTGAGGATGATCAGATCAGCCATGATTGCATTGTATGGTGGAGCAGACTTGATGGGCTGAATGACCTACTGTACTGCCTGGTTTTATCGTCTCATGTCAATTATTTTGATACTCTGAGTGTTTGAGGTATACGCAAATGTTTCAGATGCTTGAAAAAAGAAATTTTAGCCAGTTATCTTTTTACCTGAACGATGACGATGCAACGCAAAAAAATTTATCCACATTCTTTTTTCAGACACATTTTTTCCATTTGTGTATTTCCATCATTTTGTGTTTCATATTTTCTTAAATTTACCTTCATAATTTTCTCATATAACTCATTGGTGTTAGTTGTAAAAAATAGCACTGAATAAATTAAGTCTGTCACCTTGTTTGTTAAAATTGGCCCCAAACTGTTTTCACTGTGAAGGCTAGAAGTGCACCAGAACATACAGGGTGACTGTGATCAGCCTCGTCACCTCTGGGCGAGGAGGGACTCACTCAAAACTGTTGAATGCTCCCTCTACCGGAGAGTGTGTATTTGTGCTCAGGACAGTGTCACCCAACCATCAACCTCATCCTAAAATTGTCTTTTAAATAGGAAATCAGCTACCAGTTCTTTGCTTCGTTCAAATTAGCTAACACTCTTATTACCTTCCAACAGCGACTATGCTTAAAAAAGAAAGTAATCAATCATGAAACACAGGGCATATATTAAGGTTGTGAAAGGTGCTACATCAATGCAATATATGCCCTTGCTTTCCGCAGGACACTACATGCAGTATAAATGCAAATTCTTTGTCTTTTCTTTTGGCTGATGTGAAGTAGCGCCCAGCTGAGATTTTTGGTTACTGCATCCGAAACGTTAACCCTGTTTTCCTTGTGAAAGGTTTTGTCTTGTGTGTAGTCCAGGCAGATCGTACCATACAAAGATTGCAGGCTGAGTACAAAATTACAACTGCAAAGAAAGTACACAAAAAGCAAGACCAACATTAGATTTTAAATTTGAGATCATGCTTTATGTGCACTGTCTTTGCAGCCCTAACTTTGTATTCCTCTCTCCAGATGCTGCCAGACCCGCTGAATTTCTCCAGCACAGAGTCATGGGTACAGCACGGAAACAGACCCTTCAGTCCAACTCGTCCATGCCAAACAGATATCCGAAATTAATCTTGTCCCATTTGCCAGCATTTGGCCCATATCCCTCTAAACCTTTCCTATTCCTGTACCATCCAGATGCCTTTTAAGTGTTGTAATTGTACCAGCCCCCACCACTTCGTCTGGCAGCTCGTTCCATACACGCACCACCCTCTGTGTGAAAAAAAATTGCCCCTTAGGTCCCTTTTAATCTTTCCCCTCTCACCTTACATCTGCTGTATGGTTTTTGACCTCCCTCCAACTGCAGGGAAAAGACCTTGTCTATTTACCTTCTCCATGCTCCTCCATGATTTTATAAACTTCTATATAGTCACCCCTCAGCCTCTGATGCTCCAGGGGAAATAGCCCCAGCCTATTCAGCCTCTCCCTCTGGCTCAAATCCTCCAATGCTGG